AGAATAATAGAATTATCAAGGTGTTTCTATGGTATGTTTATGACTCTCTTTCGTCAATGTCAGTCCAATACCTGATCAAACGTTTATACAAAATAAATGAAAGATTGAGGAAATTTGTGGACTTGTTTGCTTGTGTTCTTAATTTTATTTTCACACACAATTTTGGGTCAAATAAAAATTACAAGTCCTACTCCTTCAAATCTGTTTTTATCTCCGAAAGTAACTAGATGTGATATATCCCAAATATTTTCAGTTCAAGTTTTCGACACTGCTTGTCCTATTTTTTGAGCTCAAAAACATTTTAACACAGGAAGGGAAAGCAGACCGACTGCGTGAAAAAGACACCAGTTGTTTAGTCTACTAGTATACATATTTTATGTTTACTAATTTATTTGCCGACTGTTTACATTCAAATTAGCTATTTTGTACAATTTCAACAGGAATTCTCGGTGTTGATAACGGAAGAGTTATTGTTGTGACCATTTATACCTTAGTAAATTGTAAATCAAGATACATTTGTCCATTCCGATTTAACAGTCTGCAATTGAAAACTTCATATGCCTTTGTAAATTACATTCCTGTATTTCGGAAAGTGACAATTATGTTTTGAGAATAAGAATCTGGCAAATCGATTTTGACCAAAAATGATACCAGTTCTAATTTACGAATGCAATTTCAATTCTAATAATTTGATTGCTTTTCTTATTACGAAATTCAAATCAATGTCTACTTCGGGGGAAAATATCACACATATAATTGCAATATTCATTTTTTCTTTAAAATTATAATAACAAGGAAATGTTTGGTTTTGTAAACAAGACAGCAACCAAAGATACGAAGCATCTAGTGTGTGTACGGTAACCAACAAATATTTTTCTATGTTTGTTGGTATTAAATTATATATAAAAGTGTTGACTAACAAAACATGTTTTCGTTTCCAGAAAGGATGATAAAACTGTGTATCTCACATTTTATTTAGAGTGTAGCTTATTTGTATTCCAAAAATAAATAAGTAGAAGAATTCCGGTGGCAAATGATCATTTTTTTATGCCTAATATATATAAGTGAAAATAAAACATCTGTAAAATAAGAAACAAACCTTATTCTAGCTTGTCCTCTACCAACAACAGCCTTGAGAACATGTCTATGAAATGTTTTTCTTCTCTATGGCTAAATCAATACAACAGCACCGATGCGTGCGTTCATTGATAATTCTAGTATAAACAATCGGAAAATGGCATTGGAAAGTCGGATCAAGATTGCGCATGATTCCGATAAATCGATAAGTAACTGAATAAATAATAAACCTATTTTCGAAACAATGCCTAAATATTGATAGCATATTCTATTATCACAAAGAACCATATAACGCGATTTGCGGAAATTAATAAAACTATAGCATTGTGTGTAAATTCTGATTTATAAAATTGTGTAAGAAAAATATATTGTAACATTGCTTCTTAATGTGTGTTATTGTCGTCTTTATAATGATTATTTTCAAATGAACCGTCCGCCTTATAATCCCCAGCCTTCACTAACTATATGTCTTACTAAATTTATTTGATTACTGTGTTGTAACTAGTCTACGGTGAACATGACTTCAGGTAGGTATTCGTTATGATTCACCTACACCAGGTATTTCAGAACATACAAAAAAATGTATCTAGTTATGAAAATATTATAAATTTGGTGCGTCGGAAGAGTTTTTTTTTTTTAATATTTATCATTATCAATGAGGAGCGCTCCCTTAAAATACGAAATGAACAATAAAAACAAAACGAAAGCAAAAAAAAAAAAAAAAAAAATTGCCAAGGAGCTGTAAGACCAAACTAGACAAATATATAACTAAAGTAGACATACAAAATATTTATTGTCTATGGATACATTAAAAACGTTTTGCTTATATGTTTTTTTTTATTTTGTTTTTATTAACCGAATTCAAAACCAAGTTCATGAAGTCAATAAGTGATTAACATTTGTGTTTTTCTGACTTAACATGCTAACAAGTAATTGAAAAATGATAGAAGCAATAATAGCGATACATTAAACCTTTGTCTTTGGAAATTCTTAATTTGTATGAATTACCAAAGACAAAGCTTTATCACAACAATAGTAATAATTTCCGTACTCAAGACAATCAACTGTGATAATGATGGTACCATCAGGATCATCTACTGATAAACACCAAGATCCAAAAACCGCCTTAAGAATAGCTTAAACAGTTCAAAGACACATTTCATAATCTCAAAGCGCTGAATCTTTTTAGTTTAAAAAAATAAGTACATCAAAACTTATACTGTGATTTTGGAGTAAAAGTTTTTTACACATTATTATAGTGTGTAATGCTAATCATGTTTGCTCTCGTTATTATTCAATTGCATTCGATATGATTGAAATAAAATCAAATGAATAACGAAATCAAATTTTTTTTTTTTTATCAAGATTTAAAAAAATAAATAATTAAACATAAAGAAAACACAGATGTTACCCAAAGACTTAATTACAAACACACACATACGTCAGTCCTCGTCTAGACTTCCAATTAGAGGACATGTCTTTCCAATTGTTAAATTGTTCTTCTTCATAAAGTAGAACATAAAGGATTGAGTCTTGGTATTGATATAAGGTCACCTGGACTTCGCCCATCCAGCAGTAAAATGCATGCTAAAGAGATCTAGAGTCCCTTTTGTCTATACGGGATGTATAAATACTCAGTTACGTTCGGTCGGAATGATGACATTAAATCCGATGTAGTGATAGTGTTATGCTTTCTTCAAGTTAAAAAATCCTAACAACAACGTTTAATACTTTTAGGGACCAGAAGGTGGCCTGTTGCAAAGCAAAATCAACAAGTTCCACCCGAATCCTACATATTCTCGTTTTCAAGTGGTAGTCAGCATTTTTCAACCTTCACCCCGGTTGACCCACTTTCATGACAGAGCTTATAAATTATAGCATCGTTATAGTAATTTTTTTATCCTGAATATGCATGGAATATTTTCCACTGAATGTAAAGCAAGCAACAATAAAATCAATCTTTTATAGTCATGGTCCATTGGATCCTACCAATCTAATTAAAATATAAACGTCTGATTTCGTTATCCTCATCTTATGAAATCAAAGGTCTATATTTTGATAAGATTGGCAGTCTACGGCCTTTCTTGACTGCTTAGATTTGTGCGTAATTGCAGTATTGTCTCAGATAATTAGAAAAAGTGTACTTTTTCAACTCAAATGTATGGCAATATTACTAATAAAACAAATCAGTTTAGTAATTGTCCTTCTAATCTTTCTTTTTTTCAAATATTGACCAAGGTGTTGACTTTTGTACTTAAGATTGTTTTTATGGACATTTTTTAACTTGTCTAAACTGTTTAACTACTAGTAACCTAATTCTCATTGAATGATTTCATTGATTTCTGTGTTCGATATACTTTTATACTGTTTACGAGTAGAGTTTTTTGGACGGTTCAACGGGTGGTGCTGTTTAAAATTCGAACTTTTGAAGTATAGCAGTCTAGTATATTAGTATACAAGAAAGCAAGACTTCTATGTCAGCAGACAGATACTTTAATTTCGGTTGAAGCAGAGACATATGATACAATTATATCATATGTACTGTACAAAAATGAGATGAGGTATAATTGCCACTGATGATAAGACAACTTTCCAACAAAGGCCAAAATGAAGAAGAAAGTAGCAATCATAGATCAGCGTATAGGGACTTCAACATTGAGCAAAACTCATACCGCATAACAAACTGTTAAAGGCCCCGACACGACATATGTAAAACAAACGAGAAAACTAACGGCATGATTTATGTAAAGAATAGTAAACGAAAAACAAATATGATATACAGCAACAAACTGGAGACACCACTCGGACAATACGTCTATGGTTGAAGTTAATCATATAATTTATTGATACAATAGCATCTAGCATAATTCTACATGCAGGTTTTGTTTATTTGTGTATTTTTGTTATTGTACTTTTGTTTTGTTGAAGAGGACATTGAAATAAAAACTGTTTAAACATTCCATGTTCACGATTTCGAAATGTTAAATATTGTAAACAATATAGTCCATTGCCAGTAGTAAGAGAGACATATATATACACATATGTGTAACTTTATATATGTCTCTGATAGTATGACTAAAACATACACATTACAAATAAAACCGATAAATAAGGATAAGAAAACAAGTTACATAGTCACACTGACTTTTATGAATTCAGCGCTCTCCTAAAAATTGACATCAAAGCACTACTGTGGTTTTTAGACACTTGTCCCAATGCGCACAGATAAAAGAGAGGCGAAAGATACCAAAGGGACATTCAAACTCATAAGTTAAAAATAAACTGACACCGCCATGGCTAAAAAAGAAAAAAAAAAAAAACAACAGACAAACAACAGTACACAAAACACAACATAGAAAAACTTTAGATAAAGGCTACTATTGACTTCTGGGTGTCTTTTTCTGTGTCTATTGTAAGCTGGTCCTCTACTGACTACTACACTTTGTCTATGAACAAAGTGTAGAAGTCAGTCGAGGACCAGCTTATGTCTATTGGATATACTGTTTGGTTTCTTTTTTTTTATTGTCGTTTATCTATTTTCTTATTTCATTATTAGACTTCATCACATATAAGATCATACTGTATCAAAGTATTTTTTTTATTAACATCCTTGATATAATCTCAGTGACAAATAACTGGTCACGGTTTTCCAGTGACTTGCCATAAGACTTGCTTTTTTTCAAAGCGTTCTTTATTTAAGATATAGTATGGAGAACTGAAGAAAAACAGTAAATTTTGATTAAAGTATTTACGAACAAAATGTTTTGACTTGCTCTTTCAATTTGCACATCTGTCTACTAAACAAATCCTTGATACAGACAAATTATAAATTCCGGAACCGTTTGCGTGCCCGATAACGGCGTATATTTAAAAATTACTATCGGAATATCTCGAGGTTTTTCAAAAAGAAATTTACACAACCTTCCGAACAGAAAGAAGAAAATGAAAATTTTTGAAAACATTGAAAACGATTAAAATTGACAACATTTATGTGAAATATGTAGTAAAATGCCAGGGTGGAAGCCTGACTGTCTGAGAGGTTCAGTTTATGAGCCAGGTGACTTAAATATTTGAGTTATAGTCTTACAGTATCTAGTGAGATGTTTATTGTTGAAAATTAACATTTCTTTCAGAAAAAAAAGGATTACCCCTACTGTCATCTTTAGATCCTGGAGAACATATAAAGACATGATTTTTATACTTATGCTGGATCTAAATGATTGCTTAATTTTAGTTAATATGAGACAGGTGTTACCTGATAAGCCCAGGAATTTTGGTACATGATTGTTTTGTTTATCTTCATACTTATCAAATAAAAGTTATCACAAATACGAATTTGCAGTAAACCGTGCACTTTTAAAATACAAATTTGCAGGAAATCGTATCCTATTTATGACTATAAATCCAAGAAAGTAACTGAAAACCAAAACGAGTTTTGTTGCCCTCTCGATCAAATTGATTGCATAAGATGTCATGTCAACTGTACGGAAGGAGTCGTTCTATCCCAGAACAATCAGAGAGTGGAACACCTTGCCCAACTCTACTGTCTCTAGAGTCCTGAATCCTTCAAGGCTCAGCTCCGTCATTAGATTAAATGCCATGTTTTTAATTGCACCTGTATATATATTAAATTGCACCCATTCTCTTTTTGTTTAATAAATTTCAAAAATATTTCATGCGCTCACTCCAAAATGTGGCAGAATAGTCAACCAGTTGACGGTGGCCGCTTACCGGAAGAAGGAGAATGTCTTTTGACATTTACTAGATCATGTGTGTGTCAAGGTTAATAATTTACTCAAAATATAGGACCCTTACAATTTCTGTGAACAAGTAAGCTGGTTCTACGTGAATTGTATCTTGGTGATGATATTGTTGAAGATCTGTCAGTGCATTAGTGGTATGACCCAAATCAACCATTCTACCATTTATACTCCCTTAGGGAGATATAAACTTATAATTTCAGATAGTAAAGGTTCCTCAGAAGGAACTAACAAATAACAGTCTGTGCCAAACGCCGACAGTCCTGACCGATGAAATAGATGCAGGTCAGCCAAATCATATGTCAATTCCTGTCCGTATGTTCGGTGTTTTCACTGTCTCAGTTCTGTGACTTATTATTGCATTTTGATATGCGTGGGCACAGTTTGGTAGAAATGAAAACTTCCGGGTAAAATATTTTCTCCGAAGTATTTTCAAGGGGCTATACCTGGTAAACCCTTGATACGTAACCTGACTGACTAAGGAAGCAATCATGACAAAAAGCGCAAATAGGAGACCAGAGAGAAATTTTTACCATGAAATATGGCAAAGTTTACACCACAAAATTTACTCAGAAATACCTGTGAACCTGGAACAGTTTTAAAGCATGGCAGGAACTAGATATTTTAATTTGAAATGCATTTTATGTTTCAGAAAATTAAAAAGACTTACCTCGATTTTTAGATTTTTTTCTTAAGGTTCCCGCTGAAGGTGCCAAAATAAACGGACCTGGATTTTTAGATTCTTTTCTTAAGGTTCCCGCTGAAGGTGCCAAAATAAACGAACCTGGATTTTTAGATTCTTTTCTTAAGGTTCCCGCTGAAGGTGCCAAAATAAACGAACATCTGAATTTCATTTGATATATTCCACTCATTTACACAGTTTAAATCACATATTTTAGCTGATACATGAATCCATTGTCCCTCAATTGTCCATGTTTATTTATACAGTTCACTACAATTATCACAGGGGGAAACATTCATAACATTTTTCCTAACTTAGTTTAATTTTGCAACTTATGCATATACTGTGGGAACAAAGTTTATAATTTTCACATAAAATGGATTTAAGATTTAATTATCTGGTTCGTGCCATGCTTTTTCCAGGTGCACAGGTTTGTAACTGCTCAGCACTTATTTAAATTTTTTTTTTACATAAATTAAGAATTTTGGCATGCACTGTGTTCACTTCCAACATGTCTAACTGTAAACATAAAAGAATTTAAGAGCTTTAGATAGAATTAGCCAAATGTGTACATGTAATATTATTATGTCCCATAAAGAGTTTTAAGTTTAAGTCATAATTGTTTTTTATAATATTTATTTCAGATCTTTTGAAGCTAAAAGAAAGAAAGCATAATCAAAATGCAGTAATAGAAGATTCATGTGAAGGTACACTTGTTTCATGGATATGAATCAACCACCACCACACACACACACACATACATATGCACTAATATAACCAGGAAATAAAAAAATCGTAAGGGTTCCGCGGAACCCAGTGTCTCGCTTACTTTTGCTGTTAGTTGCAGGCTCAACAAAAATGGGGAAAAAATTATTAAAAATTTTCCTCTAGATACTATCTTTTGATTGTAAGAAGTTCTGTTCAAGTTTGGTAAAAATCCAAGAAGGTTTATGAATCTAATAAATGTTCTAAAAACTTTAATTGCAGACTGTACGTAATGTTAACTGGAATAAAACTAAGTCCATTTATAAGTAATATATGGAAAAATAGGAAATACATTTTTACAAAATTTCCTTCTAGTTACTAGCTTTTGATCATAAACAAGCTTCTGTCCAAGTGTAGTACAAATCCAGGATAGTTTAAGAAAGTTATTAAAATTTGAAAAACTTTAACCACAGAGTGAATGTTATGTTAACTGGCAGAAAAACTAAGTCCATATATGAGTAAAATACGGATAAACAGGACTTTTTTTTTACAAAATTTTCTTCTGGATACTATCTTATGATTATAAACAAGCTTCTGTCCAAGTTTGGTTGAAATGCAGGATAGTTTAAGATAGTTATTAAAATTTCAAAAACTTTAACCACAGAGTGAATATTTGTGGACGACGCCGCCGCCAGCGACGCCGACGGAATGTAGGATCGCTATGTCTTGCTTTTGCGACAAAAGTCACAGGCTTGACAAAAATGTAGTTATAGAATTACAAATGTAATTCTAAAATTAATAGTTGTTATGATAGTTATAATTGTCGTGTCTATTTACATAAAGTTCATATATATTGATACATGTAGTGAATTTAAGTGAAATAAAATCTATCATTTCAAGACCAAAAACTAAAATAAAAAGTAAGAGCATAGGTGTGCTCTTACATTGCTTACAGTTTGTTGAGAAACCTGTCAAAATCTTTTGAGAATTCATCTATCATTGCAAAAGAACGGAAATTATTCAAGAATTAATATATTCATTGCACAATATCCTTACTAGCACTTCACAATATCAACAGGAAAGAAAAGTGTTTATATTGCTGTTCTTTATATCAAAATCACAGTAAGAAGGTCCTTAGCACTTTTTTGAGCCTAATTTGTTGATAGAAGGTGATAATGCTTCATAAATGCATTGAGGAATATTATTCCATAAAAGATTAAATAAGGCATTAGAGAACCTGTGTGAATTTAGTTCAGAAAATCTTGTTATGACTGTAAGCAAGATTTCACTTGCAAAATGTATATCTTTAAATTTAAATGAAGACTTGTCTATTTTCTTTTATTTATAGATGACAGGAAGGGCATTGCTGTCATCGAACTGTATAAACAAGATGGTTGTGGTCTGGGATTTATTGTATCAGGTAAAGAAATATTCAATTCTTTTGGAAAACTCAGATGTAAATGTTATATTTTATTTAAGATATAATTCTTTCATGCCATGCTCTATGCTAATTTTAACATGGGTAGACATTATATTTGTTAATATCTTTATACCGAGCGAAAGTGAGGTTTAAAATGTGGACAAATATAATACCTACCCATGTTAAAATGAGCATAGAGCATGGCATGATAGAATTATTTCGATTCTAATAGGAAAATTTAGAACTTTTATCCTCTGAAGCGAACCTATAATACACGTTCGAAAGACAGCCATTTTGATTTGATGAAGCCAAAACAATATAGAAAATTAACCGTTTCACAATAAAAAATGAACAAATACATGTAAACTTACTCTTAGAATGATTTTATTCAATTTCCTAGCGAGTAACACCAACACAAATATCCATTTTGATCTTTGGCGTTGTTTAAAATACAACTGACATTGCAATTTCAATTGTGACGTCAATCACGTGCAGCCCATGTTTTATTCAAATATACATGGCTTTGTTACCAAAGCAAAAAAAGAACATCATATTAGAATATACCCTCATTCACTTAGTGGTTGGTATACTTCGGTTACCTTGTCTGTCTTTTTGTTTGTCCATTATTTTTATTACATACTACTCAGCTTCTGTATAAAGGAATAATTTGATATTTTGTCAAGAATTTGGTTAAGTTGGGTACATGGTCTCAGAAAGAAAAGTGGCTGGCATTGTAGCTTGGAATGAAGTCTAAATCTAAAATCAGAAAAAACATGCAACTTGCAGTAATTGAGGCAAAATTTAGTGTACTTGCATAATACTTTTTTTGGGGGTAAAGATTGCATTTATGGAATCAAAACCCGTTTGGGACTGGGACTGGCTTGATACATGTATTTTCCAAACCTTATCACAACTTTTGAGAGTAGAAACACATTGTGCTTGAGGTGAATATTCTTTTCTCTAATTCTTCGTCAATTTATCCCTTTCTGCACCCATTGTATAAAAAAATTTAATCAACGTGTGGTTCGTTTGATCTCAGTTCTTCATTGGTTAAAATCCGATTATGACGTCGAATTTTCTTGCTTTCCTCTGAATTTCCTATTGTATCGGCATGAAAAAAGGCGACCATGCCTGATGACGTCACATAGAAAGAACACATCTTTTTGCAGATCATTCAAAAAGAAGGAATAAGTTTGCCTGCATATGACTGTTTGAAAATCATTAGAGAAACAGATTCCACCACCAAATCTCGTGTAATACTATATTTATCCACTCTCGACAGTTAAATTTTAAATATTTAAAACGCTCGGCGAGTTTCTCGAGTGGATAAATATCATATCACACTCGATAGAGTGGTAGAATCTATATTTACATCCTATCAACGTACATTTCAAGCTATTAGATATGAAATAAATATTCAGATATTTATGTAACAAAATGTTGTGTATGAGTAGAAACATTCTTGCCAAGAAAACTATTTTATTGAAAATTATATGAGTGAATCTACAAAGCAATGAAAGGTAATATTAAATTTGGAGTTATCTTCCTTTGTTCAAAATTGTAGTTGAACCAACTACAGTTATGGACAAAAGAAGATATCACTTATTGAAAATATTGCCTTCCATTGCTAGTACAAAGGCAATGTTTAATTTTTAGTTCCCATCGCAAAATGAATGCAATCTTTACCCTGTAGTGCTAACAAGCACTTTGATTTTGTAAAAAAATCTTCAATGATGTTGTTTTAATTGTAATTGTCTATTGATATCTATTGTTACGTTGAACCATATGCTAGAGAAAATGTAAAGACAATCGAACCAATTTCAACAGAAAAAAAGATTAGTTTGTAAGTCATTAATGTTGTCTGCTCTATGGTCGGGTTGTTGTCTCTTTGACACATTCCCCATTTCCATTCTCAATTTTATTAATGAATGCATTACTCATATACCGGAATATCATCATGATCTTAGTGAAAAGTTTAAAGCTTACATAAATCATTGTGGAAAAGTAATTGAGATTGTATGTTTAAACTGTGTACTTCCAGGAGGAGAGGATAAAGGTTTTAGACCCACAGTATCAAGTATAAGACCAGGAGGAACTGCTCATAGGTATATCTTTAGAGTAATTTTTAATAATATTCTAGATAAATCTTATTGTACAAGATGATAGGTACATCTTACATTTAAATTTTAATAACATTCTAGATATATCTTATCGAATAAGATGTAGTTATAAGATTTGTTTCCTACAGTTTTGAGATGATATATATGGAAATTTTAAGGCTTGCTTTTAGAAACATTTCTGTCTGTGTGTCATCATCATGCATATTTTGTTCATGTATTCACAAATCAGGTAAAATCAAAGAACAGCAAGGTAATTTAACATCACTATTGAGGATGACCCAGGGATCACCACAGGCTATTTAAGGGTGGAGCTCCTCCACCCTTAAATTTTCGGCTCCACCCTTAAATCTCCAGCACCACTCTTGAAATCTCAACACCACCCTTGAATTTTTGAAAAATGTGATGAAAAGGTAAAAGTTTTGACAATTTTTACTTCAAAAGTATAAATTCATGCCATTATTTCAATTTTTTTTTACAATGGCTTTAATTTATTTATCTTTTTCCAAATTAACAGATTATGATCTACAATAAAGATCTTGTGTGATTGTAATTTCAATTTTTTTTTTTTTCTTGAACACCACCCTTAAAATAAATTCTGTGGTGATCCCTGTGACCATTAAGATCTGAAAACAAGCAAACCACACATTGAACGTCTAAACCACTGCTTAAATAATCCCAAAGATCATACATAGCAGATACTTGAGTTGAGAAATATAAACCATAGGCAATATAATCTCATTTACTTTTACAGATCTGATTCCTTAGAAGTAGATGATATCATCTTGTCTGTTAATGGTATAAAGACAGATGGAATGAAACATGACGAAATAATCAACTTATTAAAGAACACTGGAGAACATGTTATACTTGAAGTAGAATATCAACTTCCTGATAATTGTAAGTAATACTGGGGATTGGTTATTAATCGGGGGTCTTATTTGGGGGTTCTGATCCCGGATCCCCCTTACTGTTTTGTCAGATTCCCGTATCCTGCTTAGACTATATGTATGTAAGCAATTCTCATTTTTTTGTAATTTCCCGTGTCCCGCTAGACTTCATTTCCCATTTTCACGGCACAATAATTTGACTTTCACGTGTCATGCTTACAAAAAATCGGCAATCCCGGGTCACGCATGGACCCCAATGAGACCCACTTATTTGTGGTTTACCAATTTTCATTTTTTGTGAATTTCATGGGTATTGATTTAAAGCCACAAATTTCACCAAAGTACAAATTTGCTTTATGCTTGACTGTAGACTTAGGCAAAACCACAAAATCAAATATCCTCGAAAATAAAATTTGTTCCCAATCCAAGAAAATTACTACACACAAAATCAAATGAATCCATAGAAGATATATGTTAATGAAAATAAAAACATTAAGCAGTTTAAGAATAAGGCCATACTTAAAAATATTTTGGTTTGCCCAAACCCTACCCAAAGGTAGAGACAGTGAGTAGGTAATTAGGCATTTTCTTTTTCTTTTTTCGACAAAAAGAAACTGAAGTGTCAGATATTTTTTAATCTTCATACCTATCTGATTGAAAAAAAACTTTTTCACATCAGGACATTAAAAGATTTTGAGTAGGCAGCTATTTTCTGGGTAGGTAGGGTTAGGGCAAACAAACATATTCTTTTTTATGGCCTAATGCATTGAAGCATTTTTATGCCTTCACAATGGTAACTTTTTTAACCTAAGTAAATCAGATCACTGATAATGTAAGGGACTCTGAAAGCCACTATTAATAATAAAAAATTCTCATTCCATTCTGGATGGGGCAAACCAAAGCCATAAAAATTTGGAATTTGCTGCTTCTCCACTAGGCATGATTTATTTAGAAGTAAGAGTAAAGTATTGTTGGCTAGGAGAGATCTGCTTGAGGGATTTTAATGGTTGAGGGTTGAAACTGAGCGTGATATTGATAATGCCATGTCATATACACTTCATTATAAAAGTTAAAATGGATGGGTTTTTTTCCTGTTGGGGTTTGTTAATGCCTGTGCAACTGTGACTGATATAGATTTCGTCACAGATGGCTGATACAAAACAATTGCCATTGATTTTTATTTGCACATAATTTTTTTTATTTACTAAACACCAAGTATGGCATAATTCTTCTTATTTTGCATTTGTTTCTTATTTTCTCTGTTTTATTTGCAGCATTTTCAAGTTCCTTTTCTGTTTGTTGTAAACAACATACTGTGTCCCTGGAAAGAGATAGTGGAGGGTTTGGATTTACTCTGCGTGGAGGATACGATAACAACCCACAGAAATCTAGAGCCTTAACTGTCACTCAAATAAGACCAGGAGGATCAGCCGATAGGTAATACTTCAGTGGGTTAATGTATCATTGCAAACTGGAAAGTATGTTAATATTGTATATTTAATTATTTGAATATTCTAGTTGAGGCCATAATGAAAAAAAATGTAGATTCTCATCCCCGCCTGTCCAGAATTTTTTAGACCACAGCAAATGTTTTATTGCAGTTTTTTTCTGTTTTTCTTTGCTAGAAGTTTTCACAAATTATGGAGAAAAAATGCACAAATTTGTCAGTCCATCTTGATTTAAAAGTATGATGAGAATTTAGTATTTTTTTTATTTTGGCCTAAGTCAAGTTGGATACACAATTTGCAAGGGAAAAAAGAGTTTATGGTATAACTTCCTTCAATGTTTTTTAGTTTTTTGTTATCATGTACATGTCTAATTTTTGTAATTTGTGAAAAAATAAGAAAAAAAAAAATTATTTAACAGATGCTGAGATAAATTATTGTAAGTTTTTTTTGCAAAGTAGGCAAAATACAAAATGTAAGAAGTAATTTTGGATTATGTAGATACAAATATATTTTTCTTGTTTGCTTGATAGTGTATCAGAAATTTCTGTAGGCAATTTAATAATTATATGATGATTATTTTCATAAAGATTTGAATAATTTTTCATTCAGAAGCAAGATTTTTTTTAAGTATCACTTCGTTCTTCATATCTGATTCTCTCAAAATGCTTTTGCAAATTAAATCTTCATGATGTCTGGGTATTTAAGGTTTATAAATTGTATCATTGGATTTGCAAGTATTCTGGGTTGATAGATAGATAGATAGTTTATTCTCATAAAACCATGCAAGTACAAAGGTTACAGAGAAGATAAAAACATTTCTCTAATTCTTCGTCAATTTATCCCTTTCTGCACCCATTGTATAAAAAAAATTTAATCAACGTGTGGTTCGTTTGATTTCAGCTCTCAATTGGTTAAAATCCGATTATGACGTTGAATTTTCTTGCTTTCCTCTGAATTTCCTATTGTGACGGCATGAAAAAAGGCGACCATGCCTGATGACGTCACATAGAAAGAACACATCTTTTTACAGATCATTCGAAAAGAAGGAATAAATTTGCCTGCGTATTGTTTGAAAATCATTAGAGAAACAGATTCCACCACCAAATCTTGTGTAATACGATATTAATCCACTCTCAACAGTTAAATTTTAAATATTTAAAACGCTCGGCGAGCCTCGCGTTTTAAATTTGAAAGTTTAACTGTCTCGAGTGGATAAATATCGTATCACACTCGATGTAGTGGTAGAATCTATATGTATACAAAATATTAGATGTGATAACATAAAAACCAAAAATAAAATAAAAAATAAATAAATAAAATATATAAACATGTTCTTGTTCTTGTTCTTATTGTGTCTGTTTATTAATGAGTTACTTTATTTTTTCAGAGAAGGGTCCATACAGGTTGGAGATAGAATTATTGCAATCAATGAATACAATGTTGCACATTTTACCCTGTCTGAGGCCTCAATGTTCCTGCAACAATGTGGACATGAAGCTAACTTTACAGTTGAATATGATATGTCTGTTATAGGTTAGTAATTTGTGAAATGATTCTTGAGTATTTTCATAATTGCCCCCATTTCTCAGATTCTGTATTAATATGTTCTTGCCATTGTAATTATTACTTCTATATAAAGTCACAGTGGCACCTCAAACCTTCATGGAATTTTATGAAACTTGGACACAATTTTCTTTCTGATCAAGAGATAGCATCTAGAGCAAAATAAAAAAAAAATGTGTTAAAATTTTTTCTGTATTTTACCTATGCAACTAATAATAAAGAGATATTTCTTGAGTAAAATTATTTTGCTAATAAATGGACTTATTTTCTATTTTGAAGTGAACACCTAGTCAAATCTGTGTGAGAAAGATTTATTAGCAACTTTTAATAACTTTCATGGAAATTTTTTAAAACATGGACAAAAGCTTCATGATAGTCCCTGAGCATTTTATGAATTTTATGTCCCTGCTGTGATGGAGGGTGCATTAAATTTTACCCTTGTCCGTCTGTCATTACGTTCTTATGATCCAAAATAAGTTTTCATTCTCTAATTTTAGTTTGCCTTAACCAAATGTTAATAAACTTATACACAATGCTCATTTCCACAAAACACAGATCAAGTTTGAATTTGGGTGGCGTCACTTTCATTTTTATTTAGTTATGTCACTTTATAAATGGAAAAATTGCTAAATTTGCCATTTCTGCACACTAACATTAGTTTGTCTCATCTAAACTTATATTCACTGCTTATTAACACCAAACTCAGATCAGATGGGTGGTGTCATTTTCATCATTCTTAAGTTACCTTTCTTTATAAAGGAAAAAATAGCTGAATTTGCTGTTTTTCGCACTCTAACTTTACTACATTGACTCTTGCATATTTACAAGTGGGACATCAGTGTCCCATAGACTCATTTTTCTCTTATTTCTTTTCATTTTCCTGTATATACTTATTAATGCATTTTATTTTGGTAGTCAACATTGCACTTTAAACTGACAGTAGCAATCACAGGTGACAGAACATTACACTTTAAACTGACAGTAGCAATCACAGGTGACAGAACAAATCTTGCTTGCTAGCAGGGGTTATTCCAGCTTACTCTACCAAACAGTGCCTTGTTTAATCATTCTCATTCATATTGTTTTCTTTTTTTTATTTACAGATACCATTAAGAATGCTACCGGACCATTGTTGGTAGAAATAGGCAGAGTACCTGGGACATCCTTAGGTCTAGGACTTTCACAGACATCACATCAGGGAAAATGGTGTTTGTCTATTGATGGCATTGATCCAATGAGCTTAGCAGACAGGTATGTTGGAATGTCTGATAGGTGAATTCTAAATTGCTAATAAATATGATTTATTAAAAAGTACCTACAGTATCTGTTATACTTAGGGCTATTCCAGAAAAAAATGTATGGAGGGGTGGGAAGGCAGACGGCATATTTTGGTATTAATATGGATTCAATCATAGGGTCTTTGCATCGGAAATAAACACGTTTGTTCTAAAACCAGTTGTTGGCATGATACGGGTTATGTTCTTCTGAATCTTCTCATATATTTTAGGATGGTATGATACTAAACCCCTAATGGACGGGATTGTGCTTGATTTTCATATGATGAAGACATAATCTTTCAATCAGTTTAATTGAGGTCTGGAGCTGGCATGTCAGTAACTGCTAGTAGTCCTTTGTTCATTTATGTATCATTGTCATTTTGCTTAGTTTCTTTTGTTATCTATTCTAACATCGGACTTGGACTTCTTTTAAACTGAGTTTTATTGTGCGTATTGCTGTGTGTTTGTTTATTCTACATTTGCTAGAGGTAAAGGGGGACGGTTGAGATCTCACAAAACATGTTTAACCCTGCTGCATTTTTGCCCCTGTCCCAAGTAAGGAGCCTCTGGCTTTTGTTAGTCTGGTTTTTTTTTTAATTTTAGTTCATTTATATGTTTTGGAGTTAAATATGATGTCCATTTTCACTGAACTAGTACACATTTTTATTTAGGGGCCAGCTGAAGCCCGCCTCTGGGTGCGGGATTTTCTAGCTGTGTTGAAGACCCATTGGTGGCCTTCGGCTGTTTTTTGCTCTTTGGTCGGATTGTTGTCTCATTGACATAATCCCCATTTCCATTCTCAATTGTATTCTTTATATTAACAATACGTGGGTGATTGGTATCAGAACAACTTTTCACACCATAATGCACTATGCCCCCCCCCACTCTACATTTTTTTCTGGAATAGCTCTTATGAAAAAGAGGTAGGTCCAATTTCCCATATGTTAGTTTCAGTCACAAGGTCAAAATCAAAATGTTATCAAATCCGACTGGTTTGAATATTAAACAGTGTATATGATATTATCACACAAAATTTTAGCAATTGAACATATTTGAATTAAAAGAAAATGATATTCAGTGCTATATATATTGCTGCAAAAAAACAATTTTTTTTTTAAAAGTTGCATCGAAGAACGTCTCTAACCAAAATGAATTATTTGTAATCAAAAAACATTTCACAGCTTTAAAGAAGTTTTGGTTAAGGATGTCCTTCTCAAATATTTTTGAATTTATACTTAACATTTGCCAAAATCTGTCAAAATTGCAGTTTTAAGCTGTCTTATCTTTATGTCATATGTTTGAAAATACACCAAAATGTTGTTAAACAGTAAAGTACATCTATGATACTGTGATGTTTTTTTTATAGAAAAGGTTGAAGGACTTTTATTATAAAATTACCCTGTTTTGAATAACTCTCAAGTTTACTACACAGAAAATATTGATACTTATATCTCAGATTATCTAGTTACTCAATCAAATAATGTGGAGAATTTAACAATAAATCTACTTTCAGGTGTGGAGCATTGCATGTAGGTGACCTAATAAGATCCATTGAAGGGACCAGTGTTGAACACATGTCTATTGCTGAGGCTACACAACTACTAAAATGTAGCCTTGATGAAGTGGTCACCCTGGAAATATTACCAGCAAGGATCGTAGAACAACATACTTCCAGAGATATAATATCAAGAAGAGGGATTAAAAGTAATTTAGGTATATACATAATGTGATTTTAGATAAAGCATTGTAGGATCATATTTTTAACTAAGAATTATTTGAATAAGTCATTTTGTGAGGAAGTGATTTGCAAAATTAGCAGCTAGTCTTATATTTATATTTGATTGAAGTGATAGTTTTCTGCAGAATAAATTTGCTGGCTTGTTTGACTAGCATGAGTTGAATTAAATCTGTTAAAAACTGAAACAACTATTTTTATAAATCTATAGATAGGCCACTTTTAAAGAAATTAAAAAAAAACACAAGTTCTTAGTGAAGTTGATAAATAAAAAAAAAATACAAATAATTAAGAGTGTCTCATTTTTTGTTACATTTGAACTTACATAGCACCCAGGAAAGGCTTATTTAACTCTATGTTTGAAACTTCAGGTCATATAGTTATATATTTGGCATCTTCACTTTTTGGTTAGATTTGGGAATATTTGTATCTCTTTAAGATCTGTCACAGGTCAAAAAAATTTAAAAAAATTGTTGGACACTTTAAGCCACTTTAACTTACAAATGTACCTTAAAAATGAAGTATGTAATATTCTGATTGGTTTTATATGCTTATATTTGTATGTTTAAATGGAATATGCCTTATCCAATATTTCTTTGGTTTTCAGGCTTTATGTTTTTTAATTTTTATTAAAAGTGTCCAATTGATTATTCCCTATATGTATAATTATTATCATTATATATTTGTATACTGCATGCATATATTCAATATACAATTAGAACCATATAAATTCTATAGTTGAAATGAAATTTATAGTGACAGTCTTTTATATATTATCTTTTACTTTCACATTTATATAGCTATTTATATCTACTTTCCCTTTAGTTCGTTCCACCACTGGCAGCATGTCCAATGCAGCTTCTGTCCCAGCCATACCCTCCTCTCTTTCTACTCCTGGTAGCTTCAATATGTATAACTCTACAGGTTCCGCATATAACATGTCATCTGGTACCAGTACACTGAGGTTGTCCGGAAGGAAGAGACACCTGAATAAGAGACAGACATCCAACGGTAAGTTAAACATGTTAAAGGCATAAACTTGTCCAAATTTTTATATTGACAAAAATTATCAAGCATAGTTTGATGTATTAAGGCACAACTTAAGCTTAAATTTTTGATGGTTGAAATTAAATGTCAAAACGACCATAGACTGTTGTTCGATATTTGTTGGAATCTTCCAGTATTTAAATTTTGTAAAGATATAAAAAGCATTGAATGGAACAAAAGTTGATATAATTATGCTACCAAATTTGAACTATCTCACATTATATGAACAAAAGTTCATATAATTAGGGCTGTTCCATAAAAACAAACATGGGACCCAGGGAAGGCACTTCCGAATCTCATCTATGGGTGGGTATCATCTATGTTTTTGCACAGTGGAAATGCAAGTGAAATTTTAATTTGCCTCTATAGGTGGTTACCCCATTTTTGAAGCACCTTCCCTGGGTATCATGTATGTTTTGATGGAACAGCCCTTATGCTACCAAATTTGAACTATCTCACATTATATAACACCAAACATTAAGTATCAATTTTGATGGACGGAGGAATACATTTGTACTTACTTTTTAGTGAATACTGATTTAGTGGTTTTGCCAAAGTCTGCATACAAAAAATTGCCTTTAGAAAATTTGTAATTTTTTGAATATTTATGGTCGTGGTTCAGCTATACCCCGAAAATGCACGAAAATTGGTATCCCACGAATAATGATGAATTTACAGTAAGCAAAAGTACATTGGTTGTGGGGGACTTTGAATGAAAGAACCTTTCCACCCTATAAGTATTGTTAAATAGATGATATTATTATATAAGAAAGTGATCCAAGAAAAGGTAATCTTGTGCAAATATTAATTAAAGGAGATGTGAGGTTAATGTAAATGAGACAGCAACCCAAATCGAGAATCCAAGAGGATAGTTTTCATGATTTGTCCATCCATCTGTGTTTCAGTAACAACTTTAAGAATAATTTTTATGCCCCACCTACGGTAGTAGAGGGGCATTATGTTTTTCAGTCTGTGCATCCGTCCATCCGTCCATCTGTCCCTCTTTAGGTTAAAGTTTTTGGTCAAGGTAGTTTTTGATGAAGTTGAAGTCCAATCAACTCGAAACTTAGTACATATGTTCCCTATGATATAATCTTTCTAATTTTAATGCCAAATTAGAGTTTTGACCCCAATGTCACGGTCCACTGAACATAGAAAATGATAGTGTGAGTGGGGCATCTGTGTACTATGGACACATTCTTGTTTTTTATTCTTTTACAATTAAATTGTTTTTTAACCCTTTGATAAACACATTTTGATGAACATGTTTTCACTATGTGAACTCAATGACTGTCTATTAGTTGATGAATTATTTGACTCATCCTCATATAATCATTTTGGCATTTGGCAAGTCTATCGTAAGAATAGAATAAACATTGAATGGCAAATGAAATATGTAAATTAATAACTGTGGAAACAAAATGTTATCATGAAAACATTGCTGTTCAGTAATTTGATATGTCCAATACTTTATGCATATTCTGTATGAATTGATACACATATATGATATTTCCCATTCTTTCCTTTGTACGCAAGTACAGTACATTTAATGCATGTATACATTCAGAAAACAGCATGAGCTTTTAATTTTTCAGTCAAATATGCTCATAGTAAAATAATGGTATGTTTTTTATTCACTGAGACAGATTTTGAGACATCAGACTACCTCCTGTAGAGCAAATCAACACACTAAAACTCAATGGGGAAATGCACAAATACTCATATGGAAAAAATTTATATTAAAAATACATCACACAAAATTTGAATGCAGCAACTAGGCAAAATTAAAACATTTCAGGTAGGAAATGAGCTTATTATGCCCTGCCTATCATAGTAGGGGGCATTATGACTGGCCTGTGCATCCATCTGTTTGCCTGTTAGTCCGTTCATTAGTCTGTCTGTTTGCCTGTTCGTTAGTAGGCCCCTTCTATATCAGGTTATCAATTTTTATTTAGTTAGTTTACCATGAAGTTGTGGTCACATCAACAGGAAACTTAGTACACATGTGCATTATGATATGAACTCGTACTTTGACCTATAATGGTTTACTTTTATAAATTTTAACTTGGATGGAGAGTTGTCTCATTGTCACTCATACCACATCTTCTTATATCTATTTTAATTATATGCCAAATTACTGTTTTTATACTAATTTCACAATACAATAAACACGGAAATGTGATATTGCGAGCTGAACATCTTGTCCTATGAACACATATTCTTGTTTAAGTTTTTTTTATTAGTTAGTGCTCAGTATAAAACACTTTATTTTGCTTTTTTGTGTTCAGTTTCCATATCCTCCACTGCCACATCAGTTATGCTTGGCAACCAGATAGGCCGATCAGAAATCATGGAGATCAGACTGTATGCAGACTACAGAGGACTAGGTTTAACAGTAGAAGGAAGTTTTAATGATTCCTCTGTCCTTGGGGAAGCCCCTGTTGTATCTTATGTTCAGACTGGTAGTGCTGCAGACAGGTAAATACATACCAAGTATTGTTTTTAACTTGGAAAATATGTGCACAGCTTAATTATTTGTCATATTTTTTTCGCTAAATTGTTGGTGAGGTTACAACCTCCAAAAATTAGAATATGGGTAATAGGGACATGTTCTATGTTTGTTTTCTTATAATCATATCAAAACATGTAAATAAAAAATACATGGTAAATAGAGGCCAAATTAAGATTTTGCTAAAGATTTTCAGTATCAATTTTATGTTAGGTTTCGAGTAATTTTGTATTTTATTTATGTACAAAATGGCTAACCTGTAGTTCAAACTTGGCTTTCAGCTTATGTTAGTAGGTTTGCTTTCTTAATAGAAAATTATCAAAATTGACATGAGAAAAACATGATGGATTCTTACTTGCCAACCTCATATGATAAGATTTAGCATAACAAATATTAATAATGTGTAGAATATTAATAAGGCAGAGTATTAGATTCACTGTTTATTTTTGTTAGCTTAGTTTCCAGTGGCAAATATTTCATTTATGTTTGCTGTACATCCAATAGCTTTATTGTTATGATTTGCTCAATATGAGAAAAAATAAAACTCTACAAAGTGGATCAACAGTGATGAAGGGAAGGACATTTAGAATACCATACATTGTTTTTGGTCAATGTTCAATGGTTGAGAACAAACCTTTCCACAAATAACGAAAACATTTCAAAGCATTAAAAGAAATTCCTTTATTATAAGATAGTACTTTTTATAAACTTGTGTTACATTTTTTATGTAGATGTGCCTTGATGCAAGAAGGTGATAGAATATTAACAGTAAATGGACAGAGTTTGTCAGATAAAACTATTGATGAAGTGAATCAGCTGTTAAGAGAATGCAGACATCGATGTGATCTTGAAGTGGAATTTGATGTTGCAGGTTTGTAGTTCAATGTAAAAAAAATTTGATGTCTTGTAAACGTCATCGAAACAACAACCAATCAACACAAGTCTGTCATGTTTTAGAGGATATACATGTCTAATGGGTTAATCCCCATTTGCTACAGAAAAGAAATTAACCAAACTGTCACAGTATCTTTTCAAGGAACTGAAGTTTTGCGTCTTCAATCTTATTTTGGAATAAAGTTAATTTCTGGAGTTTTCCATTCCTAAGCAAGAATTTCCAATGTGCTTCCCATGCAACACAGAATTCCTCATAGACCACTTAACCTGCATATAATGCTTTTGTAGCTCCTTATAACCAAGTAAATTGAAATCTGTCAAAAAAAATTTCTAAAATTATGATGGTTTGCATTCCTTCAGCTTCTTATTTTGTTTGTAAATACAGGATTAAAGAAAGGTAAAAAATTACTCACACAATTATTCAAATGCTATATAAATTATTTTCGACAGCTTTATTGTGTTTTAAATGTATTTGTCTGAAGAAGCTTAGAATTTCTATTAAAGAGCTTTTATTGTTGTATTTATTTAATTCTTGATATTTTTAGTAGACTATTTCCCTACCCTATATATCTTGTTAGGGAAAAATATACTGAAAATGATACACAAGACTTTTTTTACCCTTTATAAGCTTTTGCTTGTTTGTTTGTTGTGGTAATATCAATTTCTATGCATTAGTATAATTGTCATGACAGTCAGTTTTATTGGTTGACAAAACTAAGGCCTTTGGTAAGGGCTATTCCATTAAAATGTATGTGGGAGGATAGGAAGGGACTTTCAAAATATCCCTACAACCAAGAACCATTTTTTAGATAATTTTGCGTAATGGTAATAGACGCATACTGAAAAAAGACCAATGACCCACATTCAATAATTAAACTTCCCTTCCTACCCTCCCACATACATTTTAATGGAATAGCCCTGATAGCTTTGTATCAATCAGTTTCATTGGTGGAAAAAGTGAGTGTTTGGAGTGTCAGATTTATGTTATTCAGCTTCATTGGTTGTAGAAATGAGCATTTGGTAAATGATCAACCTCCTTTTGAGTCACTAACAAATGACACATATACGGTAAGTAGGTTGCACACAGTATGCATTTTTTGCATATTGAGGGTGAGGCTGATCAACTGTCTTGAAACTGAACTCCTCCTGCCTACAATAACTTAGGATTTCTACAAAGAGAATGACTATTTTAGTAGTTTTATCTTAATTTTACTTTAGATTTAATTATGACAGTATTGGTTTGTTAAAAAATGTGCCTATAAGACGATGTTTAATTATATGGATACTGTATTTTACCCAATAAACATCCCCCGGGTGCTGAATTTTCTAGAATGCGGTGCGTTTAATAGGACAGTCAGTCTGAATCAAGTATGACTGCCTTGCAGTTAATTATCATAATGTTTGCGAAACAGACTATAGTTATTGTATGAGAATGGTCAGCATATCTAAATATAGATTATGCAGTCGATGAATCAATTTTATTGGTGTGCATTTTTACTACATGTGTATAGTAATGGAATTGAGTTTGTCAAGTTCTGTAAGAGGTAATCACATTTACAAAAGTTGTTGGCAGTATCAAATTGTTGAAAAATTACATTGCAAAATTGAAAAAAATAGTCTGCAAGTCAAATTGCCGAATCAAGATTTTGGTAACTAATTTTATTTTTAGTGTTCATCAGGTCAAATGCAGTATGTTGTTTTCTATAAACAAAGCCATTAGAATTTGCTTTTACTGAACACTTTGATGCAAGTATAGTTGATGCACACAAAAGACATGAACATTTGTTTTTTTTTTTAATTATATTTTGATATTTTTGCCCATTAATAGCAGGTGCCGATGGCAGATCTTAAATACTGTATGCTAACTTTCCTAAACTAAAATCAATTTATAGCTTGGTATATTGTATAAACATTTATATATTGCTGAGGATTGTATCTTGATCCTTAGTTGTGATTTGCTTTTTTTGTGTCTTTGGGTTGCTGTCTCCTTAATTGGCAAATACCACAAATCTCCTTTAAGACATCATACTATTTTTAAATGGTTCAGATTTAAACTACAGCTCAAGAAAATGTAAAGTGATTCAGTTTCTATTTTTAACCCTAACATTTATGATGATATATGTATTTGTGTAAGAAAGAAAATTTGAACCTCAGGAGTCAAGACAAGTAGACATGAATCTTGAGATTTTTAGAAGGTCCTTCAGCAAAAAAGTGGTGGGTATGGTTAGAGCTATTTTCTGTCCATGAAATTACAAAATTATAAGAATTCTTCAATCCTTTCAACATTATGTAAGTTCATTTTTTAAATGAATCAACAAAATGCGTGTTCAAATTATCAATCAATATCCAGAGATTTTGTATTACCTGTATTTTTTTCATGATTTTATAAGCTTATTTACACCTAGAATTATTTTTTTTAGAAAATCCTGTTTTAGATATGTTGACATGATTATATGATATGTTTCTTTGGCTGAAATGGAATTTTTATATATATTTACTATCGTAAATGTGTTAAATGCTGTTCAACAAAGAACTTAATTAAGTTCACAATACATGTGAAACTCCATGTATGAGAAGTTTCTCAGAAGTGGGAATATTTATGCGAAATTTAAAGTTAACAAAATTACAATTTTCTTACAAAAGTAAAAAAAAAAATGATATGTTTTTCAGAATCAGTGGTGTTAACATCTGGGACATTTGTAGTCAAACTACCAATGGTGAAAACAGGTTTAGGTGTTTGCTTGTCAGGTAAGTCATATCTAACAAACAGAATTATTGTACTTATTGCCAAGGCAGTTGTTCTTCACAGCAAAATTTTGGTTTATATGTTAACCAACTTTTTTTAACTGGTTCATTATAAATGTTATCAAAATTGCAAAGTGGGTAACAGGGTGTTCAGGTGAAATTTTTTATACTCTTATAAAAATGGAATAGAATTTACCACATTAAAAAAAATTGGTAAAAATGGCTTCAGGTGTAAGCAATTTGATTCAAGCAGCTTACAACAGAGCTTGTGAAAAAACCCAAGACTCATCAAAGATAACAGGCTTATAATTTTGTATGCCAGACGTGAGATATGTCCACAAACTACCCATCAGTGACGATCCAATCAAAAAAGATAAATGGCCAAATAAAGTATGAAGCTGACAAGCTCTGAGGATCTGAAATTCCGACAGGTTTCGCCCAATACAGCTAAGTAATCTATTCATGGGGTAGAAAATCCAAAGTATTTTGGACAATTCAAAGGTTTTGTAAACAGTTAATTCATAAATATGACCATGTCAATGTAACAGTCAGAAAAGAAATTACCACTTTGAAGAAAATTAACTCTAAACTGGTTTTACATGGTATCATTTATTATATTACACTCATGTTTATACAGGTATTAACTTATTTTTTGAAAGTAGTCAATTCAGTGTGCAATTTACCATGAGTTATTTTAACATTTATTGGATGATAAAAAAAATTATTCCTTAGGTGTAACAGCCTTTGTCAGGTGACTTAACCATAATTTAAGATTTCCTTTACCATGACAAAATGGTCTCCATGATAAAGCCAAGTCAACTGAAAGACTTGTTACACACCAATCAAGATATAGACATAGATACAGTTAAAAAGGTTATCAATATTTGTAAAAGGAGATGTGGTATGAATTTCTAATGAGACAGCTATCTAGCAAAGACTTAAGGAGAAGGATGTAAACAGGTACTATTCAACTTATGGTTTTCAACAATGAGCAAAACTTATTTCTTATTGTAAGCTGTAAAAGGGCTCCAAGGTAACAAAATGTGCAACTATTCAGAAGGGATAACCAGCAACCTGATTTATAAATCTAATAGCATAACACTAAAAGCAATAATGGCAGATAGAAACCAATAGCAACGGGACACCTGGCTTGGGACAGGAAGTTAAAGAATGTGGCTTGGTTAAACATGTTTGTGAGTGCTCAACCCTTCCCTAACCATGGAACAGGGGTGTGGCTATATGATATGGATTTTAGTTTAAAATGAAATTAAATGCTGCTGATAAGATACATAATGTATTTATAGATCAGCAGTCAGTTGTGAAAAAAAATTTACTCATAAATAATTCAAATGTTTACACTTTATTAGGAGCTGGTGGTAAAGCCAATGACCATTTGATCATCACAGATGTTAAGAAGGGAAGTGTAGCACACAGGTAACTTATTCACTTGTACTTTAATAAATTTGTTGAAGCATACATTTTTGCTGGATAGATTATTCATTATGTACAATTTATTAGCAATTATGAAAACAATTCTTCTAGCTTATATGAAGTATTTCGATCATACCGGTACATTTTAAAGCAATGTAGAGTTTTGTTCAAATTATGACCCAGTGTGAGTTATTAGCAAACGCTCATCACTAGTTAAAAAGTTCTACTGGGCCATAATGTAAATGCCCAAAACGGTACTTTTATATTCATCTTAACCTGAGTATCTGAAGAAATATGAAATGCAAGCATTAAGATGAATAAGGAACCCTTGATAATATTGCTCTTACTGAACCAATTATTCTGCTTTACAAATAAAATGTAAGATGCATTTTTAAAATTTATTTTATACTTTGTTCATAAAACAAAGTCAAGGGTGTCTATCTTAAAGAGTTTTTTTCCAATTCTTTGTACAAAATATATGAGTACTCAATTTTTTCTAAGTAAAGCAAAATAGAAATTTACAGCAAAATATTTTGAAATGATAAACTCTGAATAAAAAAAAATAATTACATTATTTACTTTCAGATGTGGATCAATCCAACCAGGAGATAAACTACTGGCTATTAATGATGTAAAAACAGAGAACATGCTGGTTGAGGATGCTTTACATTTGTTACAATCCACAGATGACATCATCAAATTACGTCTAAAGAGAGATGACCCATATTCAGGTAACTTATCTGCTACTACTGTTCATCTGTGACGACAAAGAAAAAAAATTAGACTAAAGTTGAAAGTTGTACAGTTTTTACCAGGCTGATAACCTGAAGTTATGTATCGTCATTTTTGTGAATACTTCATGAAAAGAATTCAAATTTGAGATATCAGTATCATTGTAGACTATCTGTCACAGGGACACATATTCTTTCACTACAGATGTCTAATTTTTGTTGAGTCTGCGACTTTTGTCGCAGAAAGCTCGACATAGGGATAGTGATCTAGCGGCGGTGGCGACGTTAGCTAACTTCTCAAAAGCTTAATATTTTAGAAGCTAGAAGACCTGGATGCTTCATACTTTGTATATAGATGCCTTATGTTACGAAGTTTCCGTCTGTCATATGTCCATTGTCCTTGACCTCATTTTCATGGTTCAGTAACTACTTGAAAAAAAGTCAACATTTTTTGTAATGTAAATTTCTTTCTTATTATGAGTAAAAGGATAACTATATTTAGTATGTGCGTACCTTGCAAGGTCCTCATGCCCGTCAGACAATTTTCATTTGACATGACATTTCATGGATCAGTGAACAAGGTTAAGTTTTCGTGGTCAAGTCCATATATCAGATACTATAAGCAGTAGGACTACTATATTTGGTATATAGAATGATTGTGAGGTGTACATGTCCAACTGGTAGGTGTCATCTGACCTTGACCTCATTTTCATGGTTCAGTGGTCAAAGTTAAGTTTTTGAGTTTTGGTCTTTTTTCTAATACTATATGCAATAGGTCAACTATAAATGTTGTATGGAAATATTTTATGATGTACATGTCAGTCTCACAGGTTTTATTTGACCTTGACCTCATTTTCACGGTTCATTTCTCAGTGTTAAGTTTTTGTGTTTTGGTCTGTTTTTCTTCAACTGTAAGCAATAGATCAACTATATTTGATGTATGGAAGGATTTTAAGGTGTACATGTCTGTCTGGCAGGTATCATCTGACCTTGACCTCATTTTCATGGTTCATTGGTCAATGTTAAGTTTTCATTGTTAAGTTTGTTTCTTAGATACTATAAGCAATAGGTCAACTATATTTAATGCCTAAATTGATTGTAAGGTGTACATGTCTGTCTGACATGGTTCATCTGACCTTGACCTCATTTTTATGGTTCATTGGCCAATGTTAAGTTTTCTTGTTTAAGACTCTTTCTTAGAAACAATAAGCAATAGGTTTATTTAATGATTGTAAGATGTACATGTATTTCTCTTTTGGTTTATCTGACCTTGACTTCATTTTCTTGGATCATGTTAAGTTTATGTGTTACTTGTAGTAAAACTTTGTATTTAGGACTATCAACATAAAATCAATGGTTAGTAAAGAAGGTGAGACATTTCAGCGTGTGCACTCTTGTTTTATTTAAAGACATGATTACATGAAAGTAACTTTGGGAATGTCTCACTTTATCTGATCCTGTTCAGACCATACTTATCCTGTTGCTTCAGTCCAAAACATGATTTAAATCAAAATTTAATTTTGGAAGATACCTTTTTTGGACAAGATATAACTGAAAATTTGCTGAATTATAAAAAAAATAAAACAACATGTAACTGCAGTCCAAATATTGATTTAGATTTGAAAGATACTTTTTCTTTTACAAGATATAACAAGATAACCATGTATAACTGGAATTTTTTCTTGTTGTATTAAAAATCCAAAATTATTTTGTAACTGTAGTCCAAAAGTCCAAGTTTCAGATCATAATTTATATTTGAAAGTTACTTATTCTTGCACCAAGTGTAAATTAAAACTTAAGTTGATGTTGTACACCTATCCATATATAGGAGAAATTTAGTTATATTGCATTTATTTATTTTTTGGTGGTCCAATAGATGACAGTGGAGAAGAATGTGTAATGTATACAGTTGAAATGCAGAGAAGAGGAGGCCCATTAGGGATAACAATATCTGGTACAGATACCCCAGGGGACCCTATTATTATATCAGATCTGGTTGAAGGAGGTTTAGCCGTAAGGTAAGTGTTTTAGTGTTTTGAACATTATTAGCTCATTTGGTCCATTAGGTAATATGACATATTGCCATCACTTAGCTTGGCTTCCATCATTATTACAAGCTGAGCTACCACACTGTCTGAATAGCTCTTTATCAAAACAAATTGGGAGTAAAGTCAGCAGAGTCACATACAACACAAATTCTCTGTAAACAATATATACATGTACATGAAGAGACAGCAATTGTGATTTTTACTGAAGACAGATTCACCTCGAATTCATACTACATTTTGAAGGTTAATTTTTCAGAGTAATATCCTTTGTAAATGTACAGGGTTAAAGTATTTGATAATTTTATTCATTTAAATGAGTATACACCAGTCTGTATGAAGTTTCTTAGAAAGATTATATTATAAGTCAGCAGTATTTGTTGATTCAAAGGTTATGGTTCAAATGATGACCTCTAGATGAATTTTGGGTTTATTTTGTCATTAGTTTGTTTTTATCATTGAAGTGTACCCAACATCTTTTGAAAACAATTAGAAAATGGATAGTTAATTTTCTTTAGCCATGATTGACTTGTTTGAAATGTGCAATCTTAAAAAAGTTGTTAAATTGTTTTGTGGTCTGTTTTCTTCCATGAATTTATGATTGGAGAAATTTATTCTGTATATTTTTTTTAACATATATTCATTTTAGTTATATTTGTTTATGCTAATATTATTCCCCCACATGGTGGTTGGTTTGTCCAACTGTCATTCCTTCCCTTACTTTTGTTGCAAATTAAACAACAACTGTGAAAGGAATGATTTTATATTTAGTTGGGCTGTTTAGTTGTACCATTTCAGCAATTTTCAGATCTGCTGAGCAGTCACTTCCTGTTTGACAATACTGTGAATACTGAATATAGAATTTTTGTGATCGTCTAATAACAAGTGAGGATATACTTTGCACAAAATGGTTTGCAACTTCTTGTTCACGTCTGTCAGATGCAATTTTTACAGTTATAGTTATCTTTTCTTATAGAACTGGTGCTATTCATGTTGGTGACAGATTATTAGCTATAAATGGTGATACAACAAGGGGAAAAACTCTTACAGAAGCCACTAATATGTTACAATGCGCTGTTGAACTTGTAACTTTAAAGATAGCTAGGCCTGCTGAGACATCAAGTGAGTATCAAAGGGATGATTCACTTTTTAAGACATTCAGTCAAAATAAGCCATAAGTCACAATGGACAGAGGGATGGAAAATAAGACTGTTAGTCCCTGAGGGTATCAACAACCCAGTAGCCTATTCTTCCGTACTGACATGAAAATATGGATATTGTGCTATTAAAATTGGCTGTTACAAAATTTTTTAATTTAAAAAAAAACAATAAAGCTATATATCCCCCTCATGCAAAGTTCCGATTCCTTACCTGACTTTGGCTATTTTTTGGATTTTCAAATATTTTGGCTTTGAGCATCACTGAAGAGACATTTATTGTCAAAATGTGCATCTGGTGCAGAAAAATTGGTGCCATGAATGTTATTACAGATAAAGCTCGACAAAGGTATAGTGATCCGGTGGCGTCAATGGCGGCGTTAACGAACTTCTTAAAAGCTTGATATTTCAGAAGGTAGAAGACCTTGATCCTTCATACTTTGTTTATAGAAGCCTTATATTATGAAGTTTCTGTCTGTCATATGTCCATTGTTCTTGACCTCATTTTCATGGTTCAGTGACTACTTTGAAATAAAGTTAAGATTTTTAGTATTCTTAATTTATCCCTTATTATGAGTAAAAGGATAACTATATTTGGTATGGACGTACCTTGCAAGGTCCTCATGGCCGTCAGACAGTTTTCACTTTACCTCAACCTCATTTCATGGATCAGTGAACAAGGTTAAGTTTTAGTGGTCAAGTCCATACATGTATCTCAGATACTGTAAGCCATAGGTCTACTATATTTGGTGTATGGAATGATTGTAAGGTATACATGTCCAACTGACAGGTGTCATCTGACTTTGACCTCATTTTCATGGTTCAGTGGTTAAAGTTAAGTTTTTGTGTTTTGGTCTGTTTTTCTTATACTGTATGCAAGAGGTCAACTATATTTGGTGTATGCAAATATTTAACAATGTACATGTCAGTCCGTCATGTTTTATTTGACCTTGACCTCATTTTATGGTTCATTGCTCAATGTTAAGTTTTTGTTTTTTGGTCTGTTTTTATAATACTATAAACTATATGTCAACTATATTTGGTGTATGGAATGATCGTAAGGTGTATATGTCTGTCTGGCAATTATCATCTGACCATGACCTAATTTTCATGGTCAATCTTAAGTTTTCCTGGTTAAGTTTGTTTCTTAGATACTATATGCAATAGGTCAAATATATTAACAGCATGTAATGATTGTAAGGTGTACATGTCTGTCTGACAGGGTTCATCTGGCCTTGGCGTCATTTTCATGTTAAGTTTTCCTGGTTAAGTTTGTTTCTTAGATGTGCAAAATATAGGTCAACTATATTAAAAGCATATTTGGTGTATGGAATGATTGTAAGGTGTACATTTGTACATGTATTTCCAGTTTGGTTTATCTGACCTTGACCTCATTTTCTTGGATCATGTTAAGTTTATGTGATAGTTGTAGTAAAGCTTTATATTTAGGACTATCAACATAATATTGATGGTTAGTAAAGAAGGCGAGACATTTGCACTTTTGTTCCCTCTCTGTGTGAATAAAACTCTCTATGAGTTATGATTCTTAAGTTGTGTTACCTAGCTAGATGTTGTATGTTAATGATTGACATCTATATATTCCTTGATCAGTTAAGAAAATTATCACATAGTATTTGCAGAAACAAATAGCTTGATTGGACTGCTAGCCATAGGTTTTTTTTAGGTCTTGTTAGATACAGCAGTCAATCATAAATGACGAAAAATTTCTAATGTAAAATCTTAATTTTGATCTTGTTTGCACTTCTTTACTTCTTCTCTATTCTCTAAGTTAAATTTAATATGTAAATTCTTCTTTTTCAGAAACTAAAGGAAAGAAGTTGGTAAGTTATTGAATACTGGAGAACCATTCAACTGATTATTACTTTTAATGCCCTACCTACGATAGTAGGGCGCATTGAGTTTTTCTGGCTATCTTCTGTCCTTTTGTCCATTTTTCTGGACCATGTCAGGTTAAACTTTTGGTTAGGGTATTATACCATGAAGTTATTATTAGCTTGATATTTACTACAAATGATCATTATGATTTGAACCTTTTAAATTTTATGCAAAATTAGGGTTGTGACCCAAATTTCACTGTTTACTGAAGATGGATATATAGCTTGAGTGGGCTGTGGACATAGGATCTTGTTCGATAAGATCTAGATTCTAGAGATCAATTTCATTTACATTTGAAAATTTTATCATACCGCTTAATTAGCATGTGAGTTTGAAAAAAAAAAACGTGATTAATGTGGTGTTGCCTTGTAACATAAAGACTTAAAGGCTCAAGTTTTATTTTGTAGATAAGCTTACATATTACTTATTTTGTAGGGTGATACATGTAGGTCTACAACTCCAGTGGCTAGTGTTGACAGTGCTATGGAATCATGGGATAGCTCCGCACCAGAAACAGGACAGATTTATCATAATATTGGAACAGTACTATCAAATGGAAAACCACAGTTGTTACCCAAACCAAGCAAAAATAAAAGTGGTAATTATAAAAAAATATTAAGGCATATTTCTTGTAGTACATTTATGAAAATAAATGATGGAGATGAAGTATGAATGCCAATGAGACAATATTCCACCATAGAACAAAGAACAAGGATGGAAATAACTGCACGTCACAGTTCGGCCTTCAGTAATGAGCAAAATGGTTCTGTTAGCTTTAAAAGATCTTTGAAGAAGGAAATGCAAAACAATTCAAAAGAAGCAACCTAATTTAGCTCAATGACAAATTGAAACAAATAAGTTGTTGGATTGCAACATTGATTCAATTTTCGCAATTAAAATTCAAACAAATAATAAGTCATTGAATTTCTATAAAACTATGTTTTAATGCATTAGTTATAAAAAGACTGTAGGAATCAACCCAATTACATGTAAATGATATAAAGTAGCAAAATAAAATTGTTTCTATTATCCAAAACCATTCATGTTTTTGAGGTTTAATGCATTTGAAAAGTGATTTACTGAAAATGATATTTTGATTCAGGTATTAAAGCTGCTAACTCTAATAACACTGATACGAGTAGAGACAGATTGGCAGATTTTAACCAATCAGATTTTGAGTGGGAAAACCATAGCAACAGCAGTCACAGTGAAAATGCAAATGGTGCTGATGAGTGGACAGGTTCATTTGCTGAGTATGAAAATGGGTCAGAAATGTTGAAACAGATTAATGCAAGTTTGAGGCAGAGATCTTCTGCCAGTTTGGACAGGCCAAGGTCAACGACGACCAAACCACTTTTGACAAAAAACTTCTCTCACAGCACTGCAAAAGATTTCCACAGTGAGGATGAACTTTGTAGTGCAGGAAGCAGAAAGAAGACCACAAATAGACCAGGGAAAAAACTTGGACCAAATGCGTACAAAGAACATGTCAAGACCATTTTCTCACCAACACCTGTTCAGCTTCATAAAATTAAGATGGTGAAGGACCCTGGTGCAGAGGATTTTGGATTTGGTCTTTCAGACGGCATGTATGAGAAGGGTGTATATATTAGTGGTGTAAGAAAGGGTTCACTGGCAGATAAAGCTGGATTAGTACAGTTTGACAGAATATTACAGGTTGTTATTATTAGAAAATTAAGAGTCAGTGACATAAGTTCCATATATTTTTTCATTACACATATATATAAAAGGAGATAATAGGGTATTTATCAATGAAACAGCATCCGAATGACACAAAACCCCCAATTCTCCGTATGTACAATAAATTAGACTTTGAAAAATATTGGTACTATAGTTGTAAGATCTTGCAGAACAAAGATTAGTTACCATAAAAGTACCTATAGTAAGAGATAAAATCTAGTTGGATATTTAGATTTACTATGTGTTGGAGATTTTCCAATGTCAGTCCAAATTTCCATGGCCTTCAACAATCAATGTTGTAGTGTACTTTACATACCCTGTTATAACATTTAGATGTTTTTCAATAGTTTTTGATGATTTAAATGGTGTGTTTTTGAAAAAATTGTGTTTTTTCTATCACAAATATATAAAGAAAAGTAGGTTTGTATTTTGATATAAATGGATGGGAATAAAAAGAAACATGGGGTAGATATCAATGCGACAGCAAACCAACATCATGATATAATTAAAGTTTAGTATGTATCTTTTGTACTTATATTTTCTTCAATTTGATATAAAAAAGTCATCTCTATCTGAAACAAATATGCTGTAATTTACAGGTGAATGGAATAAGAACAAGAGATTTTGACTGTTGTTTAGCCATACCGTTAATTACAGAAGCTGGGAACGCTTTAGATTTGGTTGTGTGCAGGAACCCTATAGCTAAAGTTTCTAATGTTGAATCTAGTCAAAAAGTGGCAAGTAAACCAGTCAGGGAATATAATTCTTGTGATGAAGGCAGTGTTTACATGAATGTACCAAATAAAAATGGATACACTACACCTAAAAGTGTTTGATATTAGGGGAAGAGGAGATGTTTTTGGACCAGAATTGGAATACATTCGAATGGTACAAGTGGTTATTCATGCATAGATTTATTTTTTTGTATGTATTTAAATAAATACTTTTGCTGACAGGCAGACATTGCTTGAATGTTTATGTTGAGTGATAAATTGAGATTTGTTTATAGTTCTGAGTAAAGTTAAACCTTATGAGAAAGATTTTTATAGATTGTATAAATAGAGATGACTAAAGAATGAATAAAAGAGAGATGATTAAAAGATACTATAAAAGGAGATATTTAAGCATTATAACTTTTGTTTATATTCGTAATTAACAGATTTCATTCTGAAAAAGAAGGTCATTTTATTTTTCCCTTATGATATGCAATTATAAATTTTGCAATGTTTATTTCTGTAACTCATGAAGTTTTTGTCAAATGTGAAAGACTGCTAAAATCCAAAAGGAGTAGAAAATATGTAGATAGAGTGTGAACCTTGGTTGCAGTCATATGCTTTAAGGAATGTTAAATTTTGAAATTTACTTTATTTCTTAAGATAAAAAATAAAATTTGATCTATTAAAATGTGTTTGTATCTCAAGCCACATCTGCATCATGTTTGCATTTTTCTTTTATGTTTTTTTTTCTTTTGCATTCTTTAAAAACCTTTAATGTGTCAGATTTGAGTTGATTAGAAACAAAATTTATTTTGAGTGTTTAAATTCCTTCTGGGAATGAACTCAGTACAAACTATACTACTCAAAAGATTGCAAGATGGACAAAGAAAATGGCTGTAGATAAATCAAGATTTTCAAAAACAATTTTTCAATGATTCAATAGTTCCTACACCTAAATTATAAGGAAGGCTTGATAAATAAGTATTTTTTAATACCTTAATGATAATACTCTTATTTATGTAATACTCTAAAGCAATAAATGTTTTTTCAAGTGATAATTTTTTTTCTCACAAATTATTTTTGATACATATCTTTTGTTAACTGAAAGTTTTTAAATAGTCTTCAGATGTACATGGTACCACTACAAATGTGTATAATGGAATAAGGTGTAGATGTTATTTTTGTTGAATTTTTTTCTCCAAATAAAGTAATTAATTATGTATTGCAATACCTTTAAGGTATACTTAGCTTTAGATCAATAAAATAAGTTTTAATGCTGTATTGGCCAGTTCTCAATTTTGAAAATGAGGCATTTCTTTCATTATATTTACCAAAATTTACATTGATATATGCTTTTTTATGAAATAAATTTTTGAAATATATAGCATTTATTTTTTGTCTAAGAGTTAGATATTTAACAGATGTTCATGGAAAGCATAATGTTCACTTTATTGATTGACCCATGTGAACTGAAATTATTAAATGTAATTTTAGGTGTTTTTTGTCACAATATAGTAAGATACAATATAATTTTATTTTTTTGTTATGCATGTTATTATTTTTATTTCAAATGTAATCACCATCAAGTTTATTCCAACTATATTTTGTATTCCATATTTAACATGTTTAAGTTTAAATCATTTGCCATGGTAGCTTATTTGAGTGTACTTAAACATTCCAGATTTGAAAGTTTTGTTTGTTTGGCTTATTTATTTTTATAAGCAGTTTTTTTTTGTTGATTTGGCATAGTAATGGCCCTCAAATCTCAGTTATTTACAGTTTTGTGACGTTTTATTGTAGTTTTTGTTTTTGATTTGTGTTTTTTGTAAGATGTTGTGAAAAGGTTCCTAGAGTGTTTTCCTTTAGTGTCAAATTTCAATATGCTTTACAAATCTTGGAATGATAACTTATGTTTGATCTTATTAAAAGAATAATTTGGTATATATGTCAAGGAGACCACAACCCAACAGCCTAAGCAACCAAAACGTATATTTTGCATTTATAAGGGTCCAATAATGAAAGACATACTTTGATATATATTTATTCTAACCTTTAAGAGTTTATATACATTTTCATGTAATGTAACAATTTATGATGCTATATCCCTATTTGCTCATGAAAAAAAATGTAAAGGAAAAGGGATTTAATTGCTGATCTTCATCTCAAAAATCATCAATTCAAGTTATTACCACACAGCAAGATACCAAGAATTTTGCATAGAAAAATTAACTTTCAATGTTTTTTATTATTCAGTTGATCAATCCCGGTTTTATTTACACTCTCAAATGAGCTGCTGCTGGCTTATTATTCATGCATGACGAATTATTTATAGTTATACTCTACCATTATTATTCATAAATATACCTCATTATTAACTATTACTTCATTGATTTGACCTGTCTGGGCCTTTGCTTGAAGGCAACATTATAAAGAAATATTCTATATTAGAAAAGGTTTTTAGTTTGAACATATTTTTTTTTGCTTAAATATGCAAAAAGGGTGAGACACAAGTTAATGAAGTTTATAGAAAAGGTTAATAGTGGTTCAGATTTTAAATATCTTTAAAATACTGATATGCTTCCTGAATGCATTAGAGAAAGAGAAAAAAACTAAGTATAATATAGTATTTTTGATTTATGTTTCTTAATAATGCAGCCACAATAAGCTAACCCAGTCAGGTTAAATTTATACAGTAATACAATTTGTTATTATTTTTTTATTTGATTTATTTACTGATGTAGAGACTCATTAGGTTGTAAATACAATTTATCATTATTAATCATTGATAAATAATATATTTGGTAACTACGTACAAAATATATATATCTTACATCTTCTTATTTTTTATACGACCGCAAAAATTAAAAATATTTTGGTCGTATAAAGGTATGACGTTGGCGTCGTCGTTGTCGGCGTCGTCCGGCGTCGTCCGAAGACACATTGGTTTTCGCACTCTAACTTTAGTTTAAGTGAATGGATCACTATGAAATTTTACCATAAGGTTCAATACCACAAAAGGAAGGTTGGGATTGATTTTGGGGGTTATGGTACCAACAGTTAAGGAATTAGGGGCCAAAAAGGGGCCAAAAATAAGCATTTTTGTAACTTCCAGACAATAACTTGTGTGTAAGTGTATGGATCTCTCTGACATTGTACCACAAGGTTCCATATCACAAAGGGAAGGCTGCAATTGATTTTGGGGGTAATTGCCTCAAAATTTTAGGAATTAGGGGCCAAAAAAGGGGCAAAAACCAAGCATTTTTCTAGTTTCATGACAATAACTTGTGTGTAAGTGTTTGGATATTGCTGAAATTGTACTACAAGGTTCCATATCACAAAGGGAAAGCTGGAATTGAGTTTGGGGGTTATTGCCTGAAACGTTTAGGAATTGGGGGGCCAAAAAGGGGCCAAAAATAAGCATTTTTTTCTAGTTTCCAGACAATAACTTGTGTTCAAGTGTATGGATCTCTCTGAAATTGTACTGCAAGGTACCATACCACAAAGGGAAGGCTGGGATTGAGTTTGGGGGTGATGAATCAAAAGGGGTTCAAAAAATTTGGGGGGGGGGATTTTTTTTTTTCTTTTTTTCCTTTTTTTTTCTTTTAAAATTTTCCATTTTAAGTTGGTTATTTCTGATTTATATTTAAAAGCAAATAATAATGATATGGTAGAAGATACACACCAAACAGGATGTGTAAATCATTATATAATAAGTATTGTGCAATAGCAAGAAATTTTCAATTGCACAGTATTGCACAATAGCAAGAAATCTTCAATTGCACAGTATTGCGCAATAGCAAGAAATCTTCAATTGCACAGTATTGCGCAATAGCAAGAAATATCCAATAGCACAATATTGCACAATAGCAAGAAATTGTCAATTGTACAGTATTGCGCAATAGCAAGAAATATTCAATTGCACAGTATTGTGCAAAAGAAGATACTTCGTATAAATTGCTTATTTCTTGATTAATTTCAATGGGGTTTTATTCTTGAATTCTTGGGGTTCTTTAATATGCTGAATCTAACCGTGTATTAAGTTTTTGGATTTTGGGCCCCGTTTTTAAATTGGTCCACATTGAGGTCCAAAGGGTCCAAAATTTAACTTTGTTTGATTTCATCAAAAATTGAATTATTGGGGTTCTTTGATATGCCGAATCTAACCGTGTATTTAGATTCTTAATTTTTGGTTCCGTTTTCAAATTGGTCTACATTAAGGTCCAAAGGGTCCAAAATTAAACTTAGTTTGATTTTAACAAAAATTGAATTTTTAGGGTTCTTTGATATGCTGAATCTAAACATGTATTTAGATTTTTGATTATGGGCCCAGTTTTCAAGTTGGTCCAAATCGGGGTCCAAAATTAAACTTTGTTTGATTTCAAGAAAAATTGAATATATGGGGTTCTTTGATATGCTGAATCTAACCATGTATTTAGATTTTTGATTTTTGGGCCCCGTTATCAACTTTGTCCACATTGAGGTCAAAAGGGTCCAAAATTAAACTTTGTTTGATTTCTTCAAAAATTGAATTCTTAGGGTTCTTTGATATGCTGAATCTAACCATGTATTTAGATTTTGGATATTGGACCATAATAGGTGAATGTCCAATTTAAAATTTTTAAGTTCTTAGACCACATTCATTCTGTGTCAGAAACCTATGCTGTGTCAAATATTTAATCACAATCCAAATTCAGAGCTGTATCAAGCTTGAATGTTGTGTCCATACTTGCCCCAACTGTTCAGGGTTTGACCTCTGCGGTCGTATCAAGCTGCGCCCTGCGGAGCATTTTATTAAGTTTTATGTTAGGTTGTCCTCTTGTTATTGCAACATTTCAAAGGAGCAGGGCATCAATATCTTTATTTGTGGCAAAATATGTTCGCAAATATAGAAGTCATCATACAAATATGTTGCAAATATACAAGTGAACATAATGATATGTTGCAGATATAGAAGTGAACTTAAAAATATGTTGCAAATATACAAGTGAACATAAACATATGTTACAAATATACAAGTGAACATAAAAATATGTTGCAAATATACAAGTGAACATACAAAATGTTGCAAATATAGAAGTCATCATACAAATATGTTGCAAATATACAAGTGAACATACGAATATGTTGCAAATATACAAGTTAACATACAAAACAATGCAAATATACAAGTCAACAGACATATACATTGCACAAATAGAAGTGAACCAAATGTAAACCTGCTATAAACATGTAAAGAATAATTGTAAAATTATATTGAAATAAAAATTAATATAAATTTTTCTAATTTGAAATTATTTTCACCTGATTACAATTGTAATACATTCATTTTTGAGGTAACATATTATAATGTTTTCAAAAATGCATATATTGAGTTTTTTCAATCCTATTGAGACTCTTTCCTATGTGCAATATTACAAATCAAAGGTTGTTAATCTTTACAGAAACTTTATTTAATTTTGTTATTACAAAGTCCCATATTATGTTTACCAAAGTTTGAATAGTTGCCTTATAAATGTACATGTGACTTATTTGTTTTGATGTTTTGTTCATAGTTGCCATTTTGTGAAATACATTGTAAACCAATTGTGTTTATTAAAAAGTTTGCATTAATTGTTGATGAGATTCTAAAGGATGATTTTGACATTAAACTTATGTTTGATGACAGAAATTTTCATTTATTGCATATTCATCTAATTTTTTTGAGAGATTTTTTATTGAAACGAGCACATCTTAATATTATTTCAAATTGTTACACTTTGGTTATGGATTGAGGTTACTACAGTTTTGTTTAAAACCAGCTTATATTACACTGTTATATAGTAGTAGCATGAAACTCTTATTAAAAAAAAATAATAATAAGTTCAATACAGGGTTTTCATGCTAGGAAACTACATCAAGGATTTGCAAAATACTCTTGATTGCACAAGTCCTGGGTTGTATTTTATCCAATTAGAATTGGCAATACATTTTTTCAATGGAATACTTTTACCCAATCAGAATTAGCAATACAGTTTTTACAATAGAATAGTTTACCCAATCAGAATCAGCAATAAAAGAATACTTTCATCCAACTACAGTTCACATTACAATATTGCAATAAGAATACCTTTATTCAATCACAATTGACAATTCAGTACAGATTTGTATTACTATGATTTTATCAAATCACAATCGACAATATTATATTGGATTAGAATCAGATATTTTTTTTCAAGGAATCCTTAAAGTTAAAGATTAGTAATTCATATAGATATTTCATTGTCTTCCTACCATTTTTAAGTTTATTGAAAAGATGTTGTTAATTTTTCATGTTGTGAACATCTATGAATTCTCACATTGATAGTATTGTAATTTCTTTCAGT